GAATTATGCAGTTATTTGCTTATCTCTGTTTTCTGTTCCAGCGGCTCTTTGATTTTGTATACTTTTTTTTTTATATACCATTTTTCTCTAAATATCTCGTTTCATTTTTTTAATACTTTTATAGCGACGCGGTTCACGAAAATAATTTCATGGACAAGTGCAATGAAAAAAAACATCAATAACCGTATGTCGCCCCGCGTATTCGCAGGTCTGGTCGTCAATCGAACTCGTCAAGAATGAAATAGAAGATGTATATTGATTGATCGGGCACGATAAAGGATGTTAAATACACTCTTTTGCACTCATGCGATTTTTCTTACGTTAAATGTATGCATTACCGTGCACCGCGATTTAAACGAAAAATAGGTTGTGCCCCTTCGAGTTGCTACAGTTTCGTGACGCGCGCTACGTCGCAAAGTTTCTGCGATCGGCGGTAATTCGTTCAGCACACCGCTCTTTGCATAGACTTTGACTGATTTATAATGCCAAACAAAACAACTGCGGGCAACACTCGATATGCATGGCTGAATGGCTTGGAAACTTTAGACCGATACATTAATGAGAAAAACGAAACTCCTGCGACTAAATATCTTACGTTTAGGAACAATTTCTAAACTTAAGCTTGAACAGCCTCTCTACAACGAGTGTATCGTTTTATTATATCGCATTAGATTGTTTTTGATTATGAGTAAAAACTTACACTGGACGTTCGCGTTAAATGTTTGAACAAAATACCTTCGTATAATGGCGAATCGCCATCAATTCTGAGAACATTCGAGTTAATTTTGAACTCGCAGTGAAAGCTTCTTCGTACGTTTTTAACTCGCACTCGCATTAATCGAGAGTTCGCACTGACACCGAGAATTAACTCTCAATAGTACAGCCATGGCCTTAGATTTTCCTCCTGACTCGTGTGCAGTCGGAAGAAGAGAAAAAACTACTGAACTTTTGGACTACGGTGACGGCGAGAAAGAGAGTGAGAGAGATAGGACCACATACAGAGACCACCTGTCTCCTTCCGTTGTACGTCTCAATGATTTCACATCTGCTATTGCCCTCGTACGAGTAGTGTGGACAATCCATTGGTCCTCAAAATATATTTTGTAAGATAACCCGAAACGTTTAATTCGACCGTACAACAATTGTAACTAAAGACATTTTTCGTATTATGTTGTGTTCTAGATGCAATTGGTATTTGTAAACCGCAATCAGAAGGCAATAAAAACATGGAACATAATAAGAGAATAGTGACAATGCACGACCATTAATGAACCAATGTAATATTTATAGTCCAGGTGGCAGCCACCTGCACCATCCGAATTGCGTGCGAAAATAAAACGCAACAACCGAGTTGCGTGTGCGGTTCCGAAGCCCGTGGTAGGTTCGATTATATACAAATTATATTTATTATTTAAAACATTATTATTCATTTTAATTTTTATTACTAATATACGTTTTATATTATTTATATTTTAAATTATATATTTTTCTATACATTAACTATGAATTTTAATCCCCGAAGCGCAATAAATATTAAATCTATAAAAAATTAAAAAATAAACGTACTATTTATTTTTTTGACGAGTAATATTAAGTAAGTAAATTGATTACATGAAAAAAAAAATTAAAACTTTTAAGTATCATTAATACCTATAAGAATTTGTACAAACCCAAAAATATATCACACACTCGATTTGTGGGAGTTACTCATTTGTGTCAAAATAAAAAAAAAAGAATTTTATTTCCGACAGCCTATTTGTGCCAAATTTACCTGCGTATACATTGTACAATATCAAATTGATTAATTCATATAAAATATTCATATTCAGTACAGATTATCCATTAAACGAACCCTTTATTATCCGGATGTTATTTCGTTTCAAGATAATTATAATAAAGTAATACATTTTTTTTCTCAAATAATAATTAAATAATAATATTAATAATAATAAATAACATTTTATTTAAATGATAGTCGATTGTAGTCAATTTTACGATTTATTTTTAAAATAATAATCAATAATACATATATTTTTTTTAAACAATAATAAATAATTAGTAGGTATACGTACATTTTGAATTAACCAAGTCGTTAATGTAAAATATTTAACAAGGTAATTTGGCACATACGGGTTGTCGGAAATAACATACCTTTTTTATTTTAGAGCAATGGGTGATCCCCAATTCGTAGCCGACTAAAAAAACCGAGGACGCAATTGAACTTTTTTTCGCACACGATTCGGATGCACCGGTCCAGGTATGTCATCACTCAATAATTCATTGCAAAAACATGAAATTATACATATGAATAATTCATATGCATTTTGATTATTAAAATTAACTTAATACATATGTTATGTATAACATATATAACATACATATGTTACATATACAGGTGTTCTGTTTCACTATATTAAACTAAATTATATCATAATAGTATCTTGTTAAATTATTTTTAATATATTAAATTCTTCAAATTTAGATAGTTCCTCTAAGCAAATTCAAACTTTGGGTTATATTATTGATCTCTAACATATTTATACATATTTTATATACTATAAAAAAAAATTATTTATAATCGTTGAAAATTAATTCAGCAATTTTTTCATTTATTTTATAAATTATAAAGATTATGATGCAACAAATTTTTATTATCGTTTTTATTTAAATAAAATTAAGATAAATATCAAGTTAATAAACTGTTTTTGCTTACTATCTAACCTCTTCAATTATAAAAGTTATGATGCAACAACTTTTTATTATCGTTTTATTTTAATAAAATTAAGATAAATATAAAGTTAAAAAAACTGTATTTGCTTACTATCTAAACTCTTCAATTATATATTGTTTGTGCAATATCGGAAGAGGAATCAGTCACGTTTGGTGACGCAAAATAAATATAAAATAAACATGAAAATAAAATAAGAATAATTAGTATTTCCCAAAGCGGCTTACAACAAAAAATATATAATAATTGAAAAATGAATTAATAAATATTAATCGGTAGTCGTCTGTTTGGCAAAATTAATATAATATAAATAATGAAGATTAATCGATAAAAATGTTTCCCACGCACACAAGAAGCAATATAAATATAACAATTATTTAAACAATGAATAATGTGGAAGACACGGAATAAAACAGTGGCGCCAAGCCCTATGTATAGTTCCATTTAGGTGGGTGTTCCCGTGGTGGACAGATAGTACACTGGTCCTAGGATGACAAATGTTATAGAAATTTGCATTTTGGATGTAAGACTGTTTCAAAATGTCAGTTACAACGCAATATACTCGGCATTTGTTGCAGCCGTATTCAGATTTTATTTTTATGCAATATGAAAAATACATCGGTGCCATTTGTCCACGGGAAGAAGTACGAAAGTATAATATTTAAGAATCAATTGAATAGCCCTATAGAGGCACAAGTAACCAATACAGTGTAAAAGATATAAACATAATAAAATAATGGGACGTCTTTTGTCGGCTAGACCCGTCGGCTTCTTTTTACAAACGAATATGTGGTCGACCAATATTCACATAGCAGTTGTTGCGCCCGACTGGTTTTACACCCACGCTACGGTACTGGGGTTCCGTGAGAAACTAAATTAAAATTTAAATAAGGTGCAAGATGAACTCACGCACGTGCGGTCGAACGTCGTCAACTGCTCACGACGAAAAAACAAGTTGCGTTTGCAACATACAACGACGAAAATGACCAAACCACTTCGTTTACAATGGCCGCTGGTAATTTGTCTAAAAAGAAATATAATGTAAATACGGGCAACAAGAGAGTGCCCGAACGAAAGTTACCGAAACAGGAACACAACAGAAAACGTCGGAAACGTAATTTGCTGGAAAAAGTGCTGTAAAACGGGAACGAAAATATAGTGATTGCGCACAACACGACAATGAAAACACAACAGAGCGTGAAAGATAAAGGGTATACCGACTTGATAACGCAACCGATAAACAAAAATAAATACCAAATAATTATTAAACAAGAATTAACGATAGTATCAATAATAATTTAAACAATTATTATTTAAAATGAAATGTTAATTATTATAATTTTATTCACGAAACATCGCCGTGTAATCTGCTTCATCGCATAATAATAATAATAAAATAATTTAATGATAAACGTGTGAACATATATCATTATTTATTTATCCGCGTTGTCAAATCTTTTTTAATAGGTAATATGTAATTTTCATAGAACACGGAGGGTAAAAAAATGTTTGAATCGACGAAAACTAAAATATATAATAGAATTATTTATCGAACAAATGGAATTAAATATACATTTATATATTTTTTGTGATTTTCCGTTTAACTTTTTTTTCATTGACTACAGAGAAATATTATACAAAAGAATCCAGTAATACATTTTCAAGTTTTAAGTTTTACATCACTTAAGCCGTCCAGCCTTGTAAAATAAATAAATGTCGACAAAATTAATTATTTTATGTATACAAATTATACATTTTTTTCAACTTTATTACAAAAAAAAAAAAAAAAGAGAGCCAAATATAATTATTATTGAAGATGGTAATGATAGTTCAAATTTAACTTTTCGAAATATCAATAAAATATATGTGAATCCGACATGTTTTTTATTTAAAGTTGGAAGACGACTGCTCTGTGACGTCGCCAATGTGAACAGGAAAAAGCATGCGTCTAAGGTATTCAATAATGACATATGCTTGTTTAAAGTGGAATTGAATGCTAGAACGCAAATTGAATTGAAAATTGAAGTGGAGAATTCTGGAGTATAGACATAGCTGTAGATAGGTTAAGGGACGAAAGGATAGAACGCTAAAACCTTGTGTGATAAAGTATTATTTATTTCTGCAGGATTTATTTACATAGTAAATATAAAATTCCATAAGCATATTTTGATGAGATATATTGTATTTATTTTAAATACTTATAAATCTAAAATACAAGGATAAATAACAAAATAATAAAACAAAATTAAGTTTTTTTGAACACATCGTTACTTAATAAAACTACAAATTATTTGTACTGGACACATCAGGTCGGATGCTCGTAAAGGATAAGTGCGATGTATGCAAAAAAATAAGCTTGTGGAAGTACAAACTATATTTATATATGTTTTGTAATTATGCATCGCACTGGAATAAATAAAAACTTAACGTTTATAAACAATTAAAAAAAAAAAAAAAGGTACCGGGTAGTATTGTTTGTTCACCCAATACCCCCCCTCCCACCAAGTGACAATGCAGGAACACATCATCGTTCTATTAAATACACTGTAAGACACTACATTTATCGCTACTGAACACAATAGTTTTTAGAAAATGCGTAAAAAATAATAACCAGTGCAATACACAACTGTCGTTAAATAAAAATAATAATTGCGAAAGGCTTAACGTTATGAAAACTGTGTAAACATCCGAATATTATATTAGTATGGTCTCATCCAGATCGTTTCATTTAGACCGTTTACTTGCCGGCATCCATTCTCGAAGCATTCGCCTCAACGAATCCTGAAGGTTCATAGCCGCATTGCGTCGTGCATCACCTGGCTAAAGTATGACAAAAAAAGTGTCAAACGTACTGGATACTATTGTAACAGTATTATATTAATAACTATAGCAGTATATTATAATAACTATTGCAGTGTTGCATTATGTTACTGTACATAAAGCGCTTACCCAATAATAAAGCAAGCCGTTCGAAAACACCATATTCAAATCTTCAACGATGCCGCCGAATGACGTATACATATCGGAATTTAGATGGTTCCTCACGGCATTTAACGATATGGGCCTAGCAATAATTTGATAGTACTGAGGATTCTGAAACACGTAAGCAAACACAATGACTACGTTTATCGCCGCAAGCGTAAAACGACGGAGTGGTGATGCATTGACGACGTGCCCTTCTGAAACGGTTAACGACCCGATAAAAAAAAATATTCTAGAGAAACATAAGAGCGCAGGACAAATGGAAACCGTATATATTTCCGTATCTAAATGTATTCTACGATTCTGTTATTATTGTTTAGAACGCTAAATACAAATACAGAATAACCCACTCGCACAGAAATATTCGATTTGAATGATGTTTGCGTTTTCGAATATAACTGTTTTTCAATTGATTGAAATACCGAGTTCGACGTAAGAATTTTTAATTCTTACCTTTTGTCGATCAGGGCACTCTTCGTAATGTTGACTGTCATGACCTCGGCAATACAATTCCATAAGTATGCGTTCGGCGATCTTCTTTTTGATCGGACTAAGCGAAAAACTTCCTGCATGACGGTGTCTGTTTTCATCAGGAGTATTTGCAGACTTGAGTTTAGTGATATTTATACACATTGTACATTTCCATTTTGCCATAGGTGCACTATAAAACGGTATAATATAATAATTATATTAACAACGCGTAAACGCAATCGAATTAATATATATATATATATATATGTTTATATTATTTATTTATAAAAATTAACAATTACTCGTCGGTGGTCTCTTCCGGAAGTGAAGGGATATGACATCTACGGTGATAAGATCTCTTACATGAAAAACATTTAACCGATGTTTCGGCTTTGCGACCGCAGCATGCGCACACTATTATCGGGTCGATTTCTGCAGCAGAAGGCGGTGGCGGATAATATTTACCACGATTTTTAATCAACACCTTCCTATTTGTAGAAGTTGTTGCTGGTCTTCAAACATAAGAATAACATCAGATCATTTGATCATTATAATTTCATATTTTTTCTAAATTCGTGAGAATAATATATTTTGATCAGAACGTATTGTCATAAAAACGAATAAGGAAGCAGAACAAATATGAAAATATGGATAAAGATGTATCAAATGGCAAAATTATCTTATAAAAAAAAATTATATATTAATTTTAATCGAAAACCGTATTCGTGTATTTCATAGAATTTATATAATTATCTTAAATTGATATTTGTGTTTTTGATTAATTTATAATTTATTAAAATTCGTCAAAACTTACATATAATCCATAAACCGTGTTGACTTCGGTATAGGTACACGACCCGAGTCACAGTTTTCGTTTGGATTTGTTGATGTATATTGATCTGTATCGTTGTCCGTTCTAAAATATGTTAATAAATAATTCAAAACCATTAATATGTCAAATGTTACTATATCACACATTCTTCATATTTCTTGTTCAATAATCAGTCGATGATTAATATTCTAATAAGTTGTGGAACAGTAGGCAATAACAACTAACTATTCTTAAATTCTAATCCTGTCAGATTCAACGGAGATTAAATTATTGATTTACATGAAAAAAAAATTAAAGAACACGAACGCAACACGAAAAGAAGTTTAGTTTTTGAATTAATGTTATTTTGGTACATTTTATTTAAATATTACAAAAAACATAATTCATCGTAAAAAAAAAAAAAAATCAAATTCAAAATGTACCCCGGCTGTTCTCGAACGAGAGTTACGGCTGCACTTGGCAAAAGGACGAATTAATAATACACACACGAACCGATATAATTATTTACTACACGCACAATAATTTTTTGTGCAGTAACGTATACTAAACGAATAGGTAATAATTATTCGTTTAATGTACGTTATTATAACAATAATTATTGTTTTGGCGTAAATTTTACGAAACGGTTCACAATACTGCGGGAAAGGTAATAAGGCTTGCACGCATTATACAAATTTAACGACAAGTCGTGTGTTTCCATAGCAATTACTCCCGAGTAAAATTTACGATTCATTGTTATTATTATATTTTTTTTTCTATTTCATAAAGCACTTTATCCGAGCCACTCGTGAAACATAATACGTGTGGATACGTGTGGATAATAATATTATTCCTTTCGAGTGCCCAACTACATATATATATATATATATATAATATATGTATATACGCTCCTAAGAAGAGAATATACATTTAATTCTAGAAGAATCATTGGCGATCAATATAAAACAAAAATGGTTGAAGAACAATAATAACAATACGCTAGAAAAATAACAATGAACACTTGAGTTTATCTTCGAATAATTGCAATGCTGTTTGCTAAATAACTTCGAATATATTTTTTTCGTAATAATTATAAGATTAATGTTGTTTCAGAAATATAATATGTTGTGAACATTCTAAATTATAAAATATAATACAATAATTTATATGTATCCGTACCCGTTCCAAATTATACTTGATTGAAATATTAACTTCATTTCATTTCCGATGTATATAATGACTTTGCAATTGTGTCCAGAGTGAAAGCGAAATTTACATGTTGAGCACACAAAGTTAGAGTGTTGAGTGCAATAATACTCGGCGCATTTCTGAAAAAAAAAACAAATAAATAATACAATAAATATAAAATACTTTTTTTATTTATATAAAAAATAAGTCAGTTTTAAAAATGAATACATTTAATTGTTAAACATTTTTTTTTTTTTTTTTAGAACTGCCATTAAATTATTTTAGTTAATTCTTATTTCTTATTTATAATAATCAAATTGTCTTTCAACAATGCAAAACAAATAATAAAAAAAATGTAGAATTACAATTATTATGATTCTACATATTTTTATACTTTTTAATACTTATTATAATAAATGTACACGAAACTTACGTCATCAAGTTTACAGTTGTAGCAAGGAAAAATTATTTTCTCTGTAGCAGGGTATGGCATTAAATACGTTCGAATCTTTGCATTGTGCCTCTTAAAAATACAATGCGTCTGTTGAACAAAATACGCGTTTTAAAAAAAAATACAAACTAATTGCATTTCAAAATTATGCCTGCAGATGAAAAAAAAAAAACGATCGAATACACTCGTTATTATACCTTTATACAAGCTCTGCAATACACTTCATCACAAAACATGCACTTTAAAGTTCCTTTTTTTTCGACAGACCGGATCGCCACACTTCGCAGATCTCGGATCGCTCAACGGTATAAAATAATCATCATGAGATTCAGGTTTTAAACGTTTTTCACATTTGCATGATATATCTAAATTTATATCAATAACAAAACATTTGTTTCTTTTAATGTTGTTTAGTGTCAAATTATTGGATTTTCAAATAAAAAGCATTGCTATCAACAATCAATTACATTTATCAACGTGATAAATGTAATGTACTGGATCCGATTATTTTTTGTACTACTTACATACGAAATTTAATGTTTCTGTCGCTATCCCATCAAAAAATATACATCTTTCTTCAGTATCCCAAGTGTCAGCTCTTTCGAACACACTATCGTAATTGAAAACTAAAGCCATATTTCCTTTTTTACTGAAAAAAAAAAGTCACTTTTACTATAACATATACGTTACAATATGAAAATAGGTATAATTATAGTGTAGTGTATATGATGTGTCATCGCGCCTACAGATTGAAATTCAAGATTTTCTTATATGAATAAAATATAAAATATTTTCAATAAAACGACATAATTTAACTGTTACATGTTGAAGAAGATTTTAAATAACTTTTAAATAACCATATTATATAACGTAATATGACAAGAATGTCAGTTTTATAATGAATGAACAGTTGTCGCAAAACATAATACAAATTGTTTTTCCTATGTGTAACATAGTATATCATTATTATGTGAATATAAGTATGATTATTAATTTAAAATTAATAATATCATAATATTATTAATTTTATTAAAATTGTATTGGACTAGAATCGATTTTTTCGACTGAACTAATAGTAGGCAGTATCGGATTTATGGTTTAGAAATTCTAATTCTAAAAAATTCATATTCCCTAACTTAACCAATAATTTTGTTTCGTTGTTAACTGTGAAATTTTTTATCCCAGACTCTTAATGATTATATTGATGATATTCATTGATAGATTTTTGACATCACACAATCAATTATAACCCTAATAGTATGATGAATTTCTTCGAAAAAAGAACGCTGGTTATTAAACTATAAAAATAATTTTTGTGAAAACGTACTGTATTGATTTGTTTGGATGCCTAAATTTTTTTTATAAAAATAAGAATGGTTTCGCCTACCATTCTATTGGTAACCTAAAAGTACATGGGAATGGCGTGAAAAAGATATTTCAAAATAGCTAATAAACAGTATATTTCAGAGAAAATTTAAAATTGTATTTCATAGAACCGATTATTAGGTTTCATTAAAAAAAAAAAACGTATTACAATAACAATAACGGGGTTAATGAAAAAATATTGTTTTTGACAGTTCGTATTCATGTGAGCAAAAATATATGTGTTATGTTTGCCGTTTACCATGCAACCACAAGCGCATTTTGACGGAAACATGTTTTTTTTTTCTCAAAAAAAGAAAAATCTAATATAAAAATTATATTAGAGATTATGAAACTGGACGTGCGTTTGTACCGACATACTAAAATGAATAACAGAGATAAGATTATGCGTGCAAACGTGAGTTAAAATGTAATCGTTTAAAAGTGTTTGTATGATTTAATGTAATTAATATTTAAAACATTGAATAAACATCAGTAATGATCATTAAAAACGATGTACAATGTATAAAATGTACTAAATTATGATATCGGACATCATTAGTTAATTTTCTATTTGTTTTAATTCATATTCGATTATCTACGATTGCGGTCGTTTGAAAATACATACATAAATAAATCCGTAAATTAAGTCGGTATAACGTTCGGGAAAATTTACTTGGTAAAAAAAAAAGTTACACCTCGGTGAATTCCGTGTTTCGCAAGATCATTCTCTGATGGGACTGATGATGACGCATTACGCGTACGGACGCCGCGTTACTCCTCGACGGCCGCCGAAAGGGGTCCGACGAGGTCACGCGTTGTTCATCTCTGCTTTGCGGGCGAAATGCACTAGCACCGTAACCGCCGTTGTGTAGTTTTTCCGTATACGTTTTTACCGTTGCGGGGACTTTGATGTGGTACTCAATACATCATAAATATGTGTGTGTTTATACGTGTGTGTATGTGTGTACATCGACAGCTTTATTTTTCATTCGGTTTTTGAAAATGTATTTAAAATATCAATAAGTAGGTATCTCCGTCGATGTTCGTAATAGCCAAATTCAAAAGTCTTTTTGCCCATTACGTTTAAAAATTATTATTAGTTTTTTGCTTGTACAACTCATTCCCTACACCCCTCCCTCTTTAGATACGCTTATACATTAATGGTACCCGCATTAATGGGTTTCGGGAACCGGACATCGAAATCGAATCATGATCTGAAATATCACCGACGAAATGTGTATAAACGCCAAGTATCACGTTCGTCAACAACGGAACAACTATGGAGATTAACAGCATCTATCGTATGTACAGAGGACAAAGAAATTGTACTGTTGAATTATTCTTGTTATAATATTTGAACCGATAAACGATTAGAGTATTTATTGTTGGCTGTTAAAAACGTATGAATGTAATCTATAATTAATTGATCTTTTATCGGTTTCTGGATATCGCAAAGCAATACTAAAATTCTTTTAAATGTTCGTACGTGGAATTAAATCGCTGCTTAAGGCTTTTTGTTTTTTTGAATTATATTTCATATGATACGTTTATATTTATTATTTTGATAAATTATTATTAGTCACAAGATATATGCAATTAAGCACCTAAAATCAACTGGATTTCGTTGATGCTTGATAATTTATGAAATATTGAAACTTCAGAGTAAAATCATAACCGAGTCGTATCGAACGTGGTTATCAATAATACCAGGAAGGAGATGCGAAAAAACGTTATAATATCGAATACCTACAACAATTACCGTTTTAATTAACCAATTTTTAGTCCGCACAATTTATAAAGTTATGTTATTATTACGTAATGAATGATAAATAATGTTCAGTTTTAGTTTTATTCGAGGTACGATAATTAAATTTTAAATATTATAAAAATACCTAGAAGTTGTGTAACAAACGACCGCGAAGAAATTTATATTGTCGATATGATTTCTCTATGATAATGATATTTGAATAATCTCTACACCTGTAACCTAATTATTGATTTTAACTCGTAATTGGTACATAATATTTATTTTGTTTCACATCCTGTTTCGGTGATAAAAAATAATATTTCATAGAACATGAAGTTTGTGTTAACAATTTTGTTGAATGACAATAGGTCACGTAAAAGGGCAGACGTGTCAAATAATTATTAAAGATTTTCGGTACCTTAATATGAAGTAATTTTACTATGACGTTATTGCTCAATACAACCGATCATTATCAGACTATCTATGTACATCTGTACATAAAAAAAACAACCGATTTAGTAAACTATATAAAAATAAATATTTAAAGGCAATTCAGTATTATTTCATACTTTTTATTATCTTATTGCATTAACTTAATAGTACGATAATGTCACATAAGATTATTAAAATCTAATTAAAAGTTAATTCATTATTATTAATAATAATATGTATATATTATTATTAATTATTAATTATTGAAATCTTTTGTACGAATCATATTTATGATTAGATGATCGTTTCTAGTCAAATATTATGTCAGTTGTATCATATGACCTAATAATTTAAATTTTTCTTAAACCTCAAAAAGTAAAATATGCTGCTGAAAAAGGCTGAACTGCATCAGGGTTATATTGCACTTGAACATTACTCGCTGTCGAGAAATACGTGCCCTTACATCGGCACACTTTATAGGTGCTTTAGAATTCCATTGCCCTCCCTTACAAAGAGTATAAAATAACACAACTATACGCGCAATTCATAGCATTTGTTCCTCGCTAGTTCAGTATAATAATAACATGTCCATAGCAAACAAAAGAAACGGTGATAAAAACGGTTGTGAAATGGACTGGGACTGCCACAGAACATATTTGAGTAGCCTACGTCACTCAATTATATACACAAACATCACAGATAAAGAGGGCTAAAAATCACACCCATTTGACGCGGTCCCCTAGAGATACTACCGAATTCGGAACAAATGTATTATGTTGTGTCGGGGATTGACGCGCGTCGGTTGCTAACGCGGAATTTCCGTCCATACGAACAAAAACATTTCTCGCAAGCATATTATAAGATAATATTGAGATCATAGACGCGCGCAGTTCCCAATCAGCCGCAGTACTACGAAATACTTTTCTAAGGAAATATTTTGTCAATAGATACATTGTATATTTATCGGTATTAAAAATTTTAAACTTATAATCATATCAAGTTTAATAGATAATCTATTAACCTTGTAATCGTACCACGAACATGCAAAAAGACAAAGGAAAATTTGTCATCTATCAATAAACTCAAAACTGTGTATAATTATTTTTAAAAAAAAATTGAAGTCCGAGAAAGAGCAGATTCACCCTAGGCTGCAAGTTCTGTACCCGTGTGCACGCTTATAATTAAGATACGCATTGTTTACACGGTTTATCATATTCATTTCCGATATAGTACGCATCACACGGTTTTTGACATTTTCTCGTAGTGACATTTTCATCTCAGTTCATTTCCATTATACTGTATATAATTATATGTATATAGCTCCCATTTAATTATATGTGTACTGCGTATATTACGCAGCATGTTTTTACGTCGTTTCAGCATCCTAAATTAATTTTTTTCCCTTAGTTTACAGCAAACGCTTTTTACAAAAATACTATCGAATAATAACATATTGTAAACGGTTATTGAATGCGATTAGTTGACAATTATCGAATAAGTAAAGACAATTAAGCGCGGCTAGACACTGGGTCCGATTGTTTGATCCTTTTTGAACAGCTGGTCGTATTATTCGTTATTGGTCCGTTTCAATGCAACGATCGATCATCGCATTCCAAAAAGGATCCGGGCATAGTTCGGTATTGTGGAATGCATGCGCATGTCAAATATATTCTTATCGATTATAATTATTATAATTCAAATCTACTTGCTATGCAATGAAATAATTTTACATACTCGTATTTAAACCATGTATTTTAATGAGGTAATTATTTTATCTACAAATTATACAAAATAAACTATTGAGACCACCATAAAAAAGGATAATTACCGTCTGAACCTACTCATAAATGTAATTACTATTGTCGAATTTAAAGCTTTAAATCCTTTTAAAAAAATTAAAACACCTATCCAAACTATATCTTTCAACTAACTCTATTGCTATAATGCTTGGTCAAAAGGCGTTAACCTTGACTGAAATTTTCGTACCCAAAAACAAAATTACTTTTCTTTATAAAAGACATATCAAACATTGCTTGACTAAATTAAATCCTTACTCGGAGAAATAATTGAAAAATCGAAAATAACCTTCTTAAAGTATACCAATTAGGTATATATAGTTTATTATTTGATTTTATTCAGGGACTCTATGAGATTTTAGATGAAAATTAACCGTTTGAAAAGTTGATCAAAGGAATATAAAAACATAAAAACATTTTTAAATCAATGCATCCGCGAGTAATTTGAAATTTCGTGAACCATAAGTCTTTTAAGCGAATATTTTTTTAATTTTATTTTTTGATAAATAATTTTGTTTACATCAAGAGTATATTTTACATACTATAATTATATTTACATCTGTCCGTTGCGTCTACAACATTTTACTATTTTCTTTTCATACCACTGACATCATTTACTCAGTGGATTTATATAAACATTCACACACACACATATACACAGACACACAGACACACACAAACACACACATATATATAATAAACATGTAATTCTTATTCATTAAAATAAATTTTTTTCAGTAAAAAAGAAATATTAGTAATACACATATTACCTGGAGGATATTATCTGAATTATAACATTATGAACTTTACTATATTTTAACTCACAGCGAGGACATATATATATATATATATATATATATATATATATATATATATATACTCGAGCTGTAATTATGTCATCAAAGGACTCTAAATTAATACTAAAGACAACGAAATACTGTAAACATATATACCTATAATGCATTACTCAATTGAAACTCATTCGTACGTGAATTTGAGTAATTAAAAATTATTATTTCGGAGTAGAAATCAATTATATTTTTATCCTTCATCGAATCATTCATTGATTGTTTCTTACTCATTTGATGTCTATTAACATGCAAAATATTAACTGTAATTGAATGAATATTATAATTAAGAATACACGTCGTATTACGAAATACCCGGTAATAAAACAATAGATCGGCATCGAAAATACTACAAAATGATTCCTTGACCTAAATTTTGGGTTTGAATTCATTATTTACAAATATCATCTATCATAATTTATTCATCGGAATAGATCGATCCCCGACCGCGGAGTCGTACTAAAAAACTGGAATTTTCTATAAACGTTCGTGAATATATTATTTTCGGCGTGTAAATAATCTTTTGCGTGTCCCCGTTATATTATCACACCATACACGTATTAAAATATTTTTTAAAAACACTGAACCGATGAGAACACGATTGCGTCTCCGAAAAGACTGCCGACCGGACGGTTCCGGTTGTTATTTTTTGCCGGACAATCGATGAAAACCCGGGCCGCGCTAAGCGTTAAAAAATCACTCGTCATATCCCGTAACGGGTACGCCGCGGTCTCCCGTTTCCCCCAACCGGCCGACCGGACCCAACGTGTAACATGGGTTTACGAACGGCGTAAAGCCGAAAACGCATCGGGTACGCGCGAAACGATAGCTTGGACGGTGTGCACTGTACCTGGTTACGTTGGCCGGCAGGATCGGGTGCGAAACACGTTGTCCGCGCACGCGCGCGCGCGGTACGTTTCCTTCGCGGTCCGGGACCGTACTTCCGCGTGCTGGTGCCGCGCGCGCTCCGATTGCGGCTGCGACCTGCGCTCGCGTGCGTTCGTGGCGCGCCGGTACGTCGTCGTCGGCGGCGGCGGCGGCTCTGGCGGAGGCGAAAACGTTCGCGGTCAGCCTGGGCCCGCGCGACCACCGGCTCTGCGCGCAAACGGCGTTACCCGTTCGGTTTGGGTTTCGGAGACGCGCGCGCCACCGCACCGCGCCCGATGTCACGACGAGCAAAGGTTGCGTACGACGCGGCCGTACGCGTGCCAACGACTGCGTGTGAATCGCGCCGACGGACGATCCGTTCGTTCGGTTTTATTTTTTACTCTCCTCCTCCTCGTACCCCACCGCCCCCCTCTTACCGCTACCCCTCCCCATCGGACCGTCCGGAGCGACGACGCACGTGGTGTACGTCGGCGGCGGCGGTGGCGGCGAGTTTCGCGGTGCTGCTGCTGCTTTTGCTTTTGCTGTTGCTGCTGCTGCTGCGCGTGCGCGTGCGTGCTAAAGAAGACGATTGGTCGGTCGAAAACATCCGGGACGAATGCCGTCTTTTGCTAATACGGTTTTAACGATCTCGGGCCTTTTTCGAGATCCCGTCGACCGAGCGCTGCGCGCCGGCCTTAATCGGCTTAACTAGAAATCGGTTGCGGCCAGAAATCAGCTTAACGTTCTCATTACGGACGGATCGATTTTTTTCCGCTTTTCCGTTTCGGTACGTCCGAACGCGACGGATCTGCAAAACGATTCGTCCGGTTCCGATATTCGATACGCGTCTAATAGCTCTTTTTTCCGATTTATTGTTCTCGTCGCGAACCCCGTAGGATCGTAAATAACAGACCCCGACGGATTCGAACGCGAATTTTTTTCAGAACTTTACGCTTTACACTTTTCGAGAGTATTTTCAATTATTATTATTTTTTTTTTTTTTTTTTTTTTTTTTTTACCCAGCAGATTTATCGCTTACGCGTGTCACACAACTCCGAAAGCATTATCCATTCCATTCATGGCTTTTCAAAAATAAACAAAAAAATAAAATTTAAAAATGTAGCCCGTTTTACTTTGTAGCCGTATAAAAAAAAAACTAAAATCATTTTTCATTATCATATAATTTGAGAAAATATTCCTACGTATTTTATTTAAACAACTAATGTATTATTTTGAAATCAGCCTATCAGCCTATGTACGACGCCCTGACAAAATTCCTGGCGGCTCCTCTGGTACCAATATAACTAAATATAAATCATTCGGGAACATGTGCGCAATGGGTTATTTTTGTTCAAATTAGGTAAGCCGAGTAATTTTTTAAAATCCGGGGCTTTTAAAACATTTCTTAAAAAACTAAATTTATAAAATATCAAAATATATATTTTTCTGCTAACATTTAATTTAGTTTAAAAATTAAGTATTGTGTAATTTCATAATATTTAAATGGTTTTTATTTTTAACAAGTTTCGTGTACGCTATACAAAGGCTTGACGTATTTAACCGATATTTTTTAATCATTGATTCTCCGACCATCCAACGAATAAACACCGATACCTGTCGTAAAATACTATTTTACTCTCCTTTTGGTAACCACGATAACGAGTACTGTACAAAAGAATAAATTAACTAGGCTCTATAGAATGTACACTTCATTATTCTATGGTCGCTTTACTCTCGGCAAACTGACCACGATAACGAGTACCGGATGTCCGATGGTAATAGAATTCTCTATTCTAGACTAAAACGTACTCTTTTTCAACTGACCACGATAATTAGCACTGAAAATGAAAGTAAGCACAGCAGCGTCTAGACTACCTTTAAAAGTGTTTTCTCGCAGTATACGCCTCAGTACACACATCGGAGGTTATATTTTATTAATTTATATTAAAATTAATACCTTTAAAAAAATAAGAAAAATTGATTAAAAACATAACTGAAGTATAATAAAATGAATCAAAACAATTAACAGTTGATTAGAACTGGTCTTAGCCGCGACACTCTGCTACTTGCCCGACCGTCGTAGCCGTCGTCTTATATTGACATCATTGTTTTGGTTAACTCGGCGTTTGTTGTGTTTTCGTCTCGTGGAATATTTAATTATATACAATACAAGTGACTCATTTGATACTGAAATTAATACGATATACTGTACATGTATATTATCTAAATTTATAAAGACCTGGAAACGATTGAAGTATCGGTAGCTGGACCCCATTGTGTATGCGAAGAGAGTATCATTTTACATTACGGTTAATTTGAAATACACGTACGTACAAAGTGATTAGTTTCAACATATATAGATTCTCGTTTGAGTTTCAAATGATCGGTCGCATATTGCCTTTTTAACTCTAAAACATTAACCGCAATGGTTTCAATAATAATAATAGAAAAAAAAAATGTTGATTTTTTTCTTTTAATTTTTAAAAAGAAAATAACAATCACATAAAGAATTTATATCATACAAAAGATTGTTTGGAGACATGAAGAGTTCGAATAACGGAAACATTTATAAAGGACTAATAGTGAGTAAAATATTTTTCAAACATTTTGAATTATACTATATTTTATTTTATTTTTTCCAGTTATACTTCATGAGATTATTTTTGTATTATTTTGATTTAAAAATATCTTATCTTACTATACACGTTTATTGATTAAAATGTTTTAACTATGTAGAATCTATGTCAACTTACCTAAAAAAAACAAATAGATTTGTATATATTAAAATTATATCATTTAAATATTTCATCTAATAATTCTGAACAAAATTGCTTTATACATTTAAATTTAAGCCAATGAATGCGGTTTTAAAATTGTTTTTCTTAAGAACAAGGGTTGATGTTGAAATGACAAATAATTCAGTTATAAAAATCAATAAAGATGATTTTAGAGTGTGAGTGAAAAAAGCGTCAACCGTAATCATTTATTATTTCATAAACTCGTGCACAGAAAACAATAACTGTATACTTGAATATTATTGAAACAAGCTGATTATTCGAGAGTTGAATAGAATACAGATAAATATGTCAACTACAAAGACACATTAATAAAAATTTTTATAAATTTTTTACGCATATTTATGCAACAATAGCCTACTTTTGTTTCTTCGACCTTTTCTGAATAACTTTCAGGTTTCGAACGATTGTGTGGGTTTTATAATAATCTGTATAGTTTTAGTTACTATGATATTATATTATTTCATATTTTGTACGCGAATATTTTCAAGCGACTTTTTCTGGTCTAAATCAAGCGCGAAAACGAAGAATTTCATAATAATTATAAGCTAACTATAAATAATACTTACAAAAGAAACAATTTACTTTAAAATAAAGAGAAGAAACTTTTAAGTAACTTTATGGGAATTTTAAGCAGTTGTTTAGTAAGCGATTATGTACCAGCGATTCTGTTTACTTTATGCGGAGAGTGCTTCTACGAGAAATAAATAAATAAAACGATTCCTTAGTGCGAGTATAGTATTTATGTGTGAAAAGAAAAAACTAGTTTCCACAAGGGTGAGACAAAATAGTAACCATACTGTTCGTGAAAGTTTAATTTATTCACGGAAAAAATTATCTTTTTCATTCCAATATTGATTTTATGTTGTGATAAGTATGATTACGTAGTAAGTAAGTGAAAAAAATCGATATTCTAAATTAGAATTTCTAATATGTATAAGATTAGATATCGACTTTTCCCTTTTTTAATTTTTTTCCGATCACAATAACTATCATTATATTTTCTTTTTAAAATATAAATTATGCCCAGAGGCTATTTAAATTTTGCACTCGTAATTCGAAAATGCTTATTATATTTTCAGATTTCAAACTATAAGAAATTGTAAACTATTGAAAATCATGTAATATTATCATTATTTATTTGCTTTTCAAAAACAATATTTTTTCTTTTTTTATTTCGATTATATATTTTTTTCTTATGTTTCGAAATTCTTGAATAGCCGTTTTCGTTTTCATAATAGTTAAAAACTGCGTCACGATTAAAAAGTCAACACGCGAATATGGTACATCGTAGAAAATTGTTTAATTGCTTATCGCTTGATAAATTAGGTCTTCGGACTTGAAAATTAATCATTTTACTATCGTTAAGTTATTAAATAACTACATACTTTTTCTATAAACATCCATCGAAAATATTGTTAATGAATTGTCGACCTTATATTTATACGTGTATCTGTTCTGTTCGTGATATCTTATACTTTTTTTTTTCTTCGTTTTATTTTTTAGTATTATTTACTTATCAACAGCGTTCGCGTGACAATTCACACTCGAGAACCATATTAAATTAAATTACATTTTTAAACAAACAACCGACTTAACTGTTTAATATATCAAACATAATTAAATTGAAACCAAAAACTACAAACCGAAATGAAAGAAATCCATTTATAAAAATTAAGAAAACAACGCGTTTATACAAAACGCTTATCATCGTATAATTACTGTCCGGGTGAATATTTATTCGAATCGTAGGCAATTCCTACTTTTTCTAATCACAATAAAAAGAAAAAACCACCACGATACAGTGCAGAACCATTTACAGCCACAAAAACAATAGTGATTACAATTCTATTGGTAAACAGTATTTGTACAAATATTTGTTTTTTTGTCAGTAGAAAATGCTGATTAATATTTCTTAACTAAATGGTCAACAATATTGTACTAATACTACTTATCCGATTTTATTATGGCCAAACTGCGTAATGTATTATTCCATTACACCACCTTACATTTAACTTGGTTTTTTTTCTTTTTTATTCAATTACCATTAAATAATAATATATATATATATATATACAATTATTCGTTATTTTTTAATATTTATAAAAAGTGATATTACAAATTTAATCACAATACCGGTCAATTATTGTTTATAATTGTATAATATCATTGCAGTAATTTATTAAGTGAAGTATTAAGTGAGTTTCGAGGAACAACTTGAGTTAATCAGTACAAGAGTTTGATTTAACTCGATATAAAGAGATTGAACTTAATATATTGATTAAGTTCGCACTTATAACGTGACTGTGTCAAGTGACTAAGGCAAGCGATAATTTTTTTTAAATGTATATATATTATTGAGTGTTTTTAAAAAGTAATCTCAAATAAAATCATATTCATAAAATTTGCTTATGGTGTCTTCGAACGAAATATTTTTAGAAAATATTATTTGTGTTTACTTAGTAATATATATGTACTAAGATATTTCCATTTTTTCCGTGTTCATAGTTCATATATTTTATACTACAATTGTGTGTAAAACTAAACATATATTTTCGATAAAAAAAAAAAAAAAAACACTGGAGAAATAAATTGGAATTAGAAATATTTGAGAAAAGAGAAAGTTTTAAAAACGTAGTGGAGTACAGATTGTACAGTATTGTGCCAGAGAAGTTTTACTGTTAATTAATTTGAAATTGTATAAAAATGTATCAGTTTATTACTAATGTGTAATGTTACGAGTGTATGTAACATGTTAATGGTTAAAAAATAAAATGTCACTTACGATTTGGAACGTAATTTATCATCTTAAAAACAGAAAAGTGTTTTTTTTAAAGTTGAAAAAAATTGTATCCTTAATGTACTTAAAACTACGTTTACTTGAACCAAACCAATTATAACATGTGATGCGATATTAATTTCAAGTAGGTATAAAATGGCATTGTGTGTACGAACGAGTGTTGAGAGTCAACTTGTTTATACAAGTATAAGAGAGCTGGAATACTTTATACTATTCATCATGGAAGACCGATTACATTGTTTATTAAAAAAAAAAAAAAAAAACCGATAAGATTTAAAACGCAATTGCAATAAAAGTGTTTTATTTATAAATAAATAAGGGTACTTCAAATTATATGTTTATCAATTATTACTACAGTTAAACTATATAATTTACTAACTCCAACTAATTATGTTAATCATTTCAACGGTGGCAGTGTATAAAATCGGTTGTACGTAACAGTGTAACAGTGAAATAAAATGACTAAGTTGGTAGTTCTGACCTCCATAGTTTTAATCAGTATTCGCTTGACGGAACAATCAAATTTTTTGAGCATAGATCATATAAAAAAGATTAATGAAGTCGCTAAAACGTGGAAGGTAATATCAACATGTATACGTTTATCTGTTTAATAGGATTGAGAGAAACGGTATGTTTTTTGTTTTTTTCCAAATTAAAATAAGGTACAGCAAAAATAATGATCTTTCGCGTTGCAGTAGTAAAATACGGTAATCGTGTTTTGCTCGATGTGAATTCAGTAATTTTAAACGAAAATCGACCATGGTGTACGAAAATCAAAAAAAACACACAAGAGAAAGAACAAGAGAAAAAACAATACCCGAATGTTCAACAACCGTTTTAGTAGTAACCAGGGCTTATTTAATGTGTGTTTGAAAACATTTTGCGTAACTCTAAATGAAAAAAGCGCAGCTCTAATTAAAAAATTGTGCAGTTGTAAATAATATTTATAAATAAAATTGCTCACAATAATAAATTGTAGTTATCGACTTCATGGCCGAGTGCAGGTAAAATCATTAGATTAGGTTTATTAAGACTGTGTTATTATTATTATTATTATTATTATTTTATTATACCAATATTATTGCACGACCGCAGCGGGGTTTATAATCACACACAGGGAGTAATATTTTTGAGAGTATAAAGAGGGGGTTGAGTTTAAGTTTTGCGCATTTCTAAAAAAAACCTTAAAATAAACCCTGGTAGTAATAATATTGTAATCCATATGTTATGGACGCGTGTTCCAGGCCAAACAAAATTTTCCACCCAACACGCCCAGAGAACGGATTGTACGTCTATTGGGTTCGCAAAGCGTCTCGAACGTGTTAAAGAGTCCGGTGAAGGATAACGACCCGTTGTACGTGGAAGACAGTGAAATCCCGAGTGAATTCGACGCGAGGACGCAGTGGAAGTATTGTTCGACGATCGGGTTGGTGCGCAATCAAGGGAACTGCGGCTCGTGCTGGGTGAATAATTAGCGTTATTATATTTATTATATTATTCTCAAACGGTCGCGGAGCGCTGTGTGCTTACCGTGTTCAGAGCTCGACTGAAAAAAAAAATCAACATATATTATATATTTATATGTGTATACAGCTTATGTAAAAAAAAAAGGAAGAAAACAGGGGCGGTTAGGCATAATCTGACAGACCCGGGAAAAATAGAATACAGAGGCAAGCATGATTATATCCAAGTTCTAACTAAACAATTACCTCAACTTTGAGAAAACCAACCCGGCAATTACCACCTTTTTTTTCGACGTTCTTAAACTAAATATTTAAAATTATAATATATATTATATTATCCAATTTTACCAGACTTGGGTAGTATTCCGAATACAATACTCGGAATACTGTATTCAGAATACTTTTTAAGTATTTCGAATACTTATAATGAGTATTCTGAATACTGTATTTCGAATACCGTTAAATCATCTCTTTTTTAAATGATTTTATTAATATTAACTTACTATTAATTATACCCTATCTTGTACAAGCTAATATCAGGTATTTATTATTGTTGTAAACCATAAACTATAACAGTTATGTAATATAGAAATACAATAAAATAACATATATTTAGTCTACAATATCAAATATTTTTGTTGAGTAGAAATCTATTATTTTTATAGTATGAAAACTAGAAGTATTTTAAAAATATTCGGAATACTTTTAAAATATTCTAAATAATGTATTCGGAATACAATTTGTATAAAGTATTTGAATACATATTTGGAATACAATTTTTTATAAGTATTCGAGTATTTATTCTAAATACTTTTAAAAAGTATTTTACCCAAGTCTGAATTTTACACATATTTTGCTCTCTTCTAACAATTCTATGATTTTTATCTCTTTTATTTTCTACACCTCCTTTTCTTTTTAATTCATTTTGAAGTATACCTTGTTAAACAATATTTTAGCAATATTATACTATTTACATGGTTCGCGTATAATTATGGTGGAAAAAATTATATATCAGTAATCAAATTTGCCGTTGGGTTTTATTAGTGACTATATTTGATAATTTAAATCTGAACAATCAGTTATCATTATAGCACGGAATTATATGCATTAAAAATCAAATATGCGCTTAACATATACAAGTATATGCACTAATATGTTAAAATTTGCACTCAAAATTTTGAATAAAATTTAATTTTTAATTTTTGATCATTCAATTAAAATAATACATAACAAAAATTACATTTAAAATAATGTAACCCTACAGTAAATACTTTTTTTTCTTCTTCATTTTAAAGGAATTACTATGATATTTATAGATTTAAGCTAGATTTAAATATATATTATCAGTATTATATTTATTTATTTTTATTTGTCTAAATGTATATGTATAATAGTAATAGTAGTAGGTAATATTTTTCATCGGCCCATTTTCGTCAATATAAGCAGCGGCCCACCGGGAAAATCCCAGTGTCCCGGCGGCCCTGTCCGTCCCTGGGAGAAAAACCCGTTAATGAATCGTAACATGTTTAGGCTTTCGGTACAACCAGCGCGTTTGCCGATCGACTGTGCGTAGCGACCGACGGCAGTTTCGATCAGCTCATATCCGCCGAACAGCTGACGTTCTGCTGTCACAGATGCGGTTTCGGCTGTCACGGAGGCAACCCGTACAGAGCATGGGAATACTTCAAAAGAAATGGCGTGGTCACCGGAGGCAATTACAACACTTCCGATGTAAGTACTCGGACGTTGTTTATCGATCGATGTAACGATTAGCCGGCTCTCGGTGACGCTTGTCTCCCGGGAGGGTTGAGATACGAATGAGATCGTTTAACATCCCTGACGCCCCGAAGCTTGGTTTGGAGTTATTTGTTTGGAAACGAGGAATTTTCATGATTTCCGATCAAACTTCTAGGCCAACATTTCGCACATCAATTTTTTCTAGGGAAAATCAAACACCATACTTCAGCGTAATTAAGTACAAAACACGTTCTGGTACCGATTATTAAATATTTTCTTGGCATTGAATACCACTTGAAATACTTTAACTATGTAATGTCCGATAGAGTATTTAAATTAAAATTCAATACGCATTGTATCAAATACGTTTTTTACTTTAATCGATTTTTTTTTCACGACTCTTCACAAATTAAAATATAATTATTACTAAGTACAAAATGATTATTCATGAGACATAAATGACGACCAAAATAAATTTGACATTATATATATATATATATATATATATTGATATAACAGTATCACCAAATGGATATTAGAAGGCTCATATACAAAAACCTCTGTTTTTGCAGTACTTAATTATTATTAAAAGAAACAAATTGTTGAGGAGAGTTTTAATTAAAAATCTAAAAATTACTTAAGAAGTTGATAGTCGAAATGGTTACTAAAAGTAGTTTTCAAAACATGACTTAAAATATTACATTTTTTCGATGTTTTTAGTAGTTATATCGAGTTGAAGATAAAACCGAAAAATAAACTGAGTATAATCAAAAATATATTTCTGATTTTATACTGTTTTATAACAAAATAATTATTAATAGTTTAAGTTATAAAAGTATAAAATAAAGTAAAACGAATGTTGACGAATGTTTTTATTTTCAATCGTTATGATTTAATACCTTTAGCAGTGGCACATTTAAGGGGGAAAAGGGCAAATACTCCGGGCGGCAAAATATTCTAACTTTTATTATTGATGTGTTCATGATTTTTTTAATTTTCACACCTTTTTCAGTATTGTTTAGTATTTTAAAAAATATTGTTGAGCATCTAAAAAGAAATTAAAAAATTATACTATACCTAGTCACGTAGGTAATAGTGAAATAGCAAAATAGGTATACTACATTTATTATTCGATAAGATATTATATTTTCGTTCAATGTTTATAATAAATACTCGGATACACAAAACGCGGTATTCATTTTAGATCACATTTAAAAAGTTTACAAAAGGAGTAAAATTGTACCTAAAAGTGTTCAATGTATGTTAGCAATTATAAAAGAGAATAGTTTAGTTGAAGTATATCCTTATATTGATATTGCTCTAAGGATGCTACTATGTATGTACACCTTCAATTAAATGTTCAACGGAAAAATCATTTTCTACATTAAAAAGGGTCAAAACTTATTTATGATCAACAACAGGAGAAAATCGTCTGAATTAATTAACAACCCTTAACATTGAAGCTGATTTAACAAAAACTATTAATTTTATTGATATTATTGAACATTTTTCTTCTCAAAAGTCAAGAAAAAAATTATAAGCATCGATTATTTTATTATATATAATTAATAACAAATATAATATATTTAATCTAATAAAAAACCATGTATTGTTAATCATTGTGCATATAAGTATTAATTCCGTTTTCTATATTTAATATATATATATATATTTTTTTAAGAAAGAAATATTCACTGAAAAAAAAATTAGGTTAACGTTATGATATGTATTACTATAAAATTATCTAATACAATATTGCAAAACAACTGATTTATAATTTGTTTCAAAAAACTAATTTTTTTATTGCTTAACTTTGAATTTATTTATATATATATATTTATTTTTTTTTTTGGTAAGGGGGAAGGGCGGAAAAATGATTTTGCCCCGGGGCGCGTATATATTAAATTCGCCACTGACCTTTAGTACCAAATGTATAATATTATATTAAAATGTATTACATCGATACGACATTCACTCGAAACTTTTGCCTTCACTTTAAAATCGCCATCTAGTTAACTGAATTACCATAGAAGTCTGAATAAACGTATAGCTACGTTTAGATTTGAAACGAATATCAAATGTACGTGATAAACTAATTTTTTGCTATAGGGATGTCAACCATACAAGGTACCGCCTTGCGAAAAAGACACAGAAGGGCATAGTTCATGTGAAGGAAAATCAGTTGAACGTAATCACAAATGTCCAAAAGACTGTTACGGCAACAAAATGATTGTCTTCAAGTCCGACCACCACAAAAGTAAATCACTATGCAACAACCTCGCTAATAATCGTGCAATTTATTAACGTTTTTTGTTTATTTTTAATTTTTACAGTCAAAGACGCGTATTATCTCAGTAATTCTAGCATTCAGAAAGATGTGATTGCCTATGGGCCTGTTGAGGCGTCTTTCGACGTTTACGATGATTTTCCTAGCTACGAATCTGGTACGTACTTTAAACTGAGATATGAACAGTCTAATAAATAATTTATGTTATTCATTTTAATACTTGATTAATGTTCAATTGATATTATTGAATACTTTTTAATTAAGCTAAGTGAATATTAAAAATTTATCTAGTTATGTACCTGGCTTATTAGATTTTTTCATTATTGATCCGAATTACAACTTCGATGTGTTCCCAACTAAACATTATCATATCGATAAAATATTAAAAAAATCAGAGCAAAAAGTTTTTAATATTCGTATCATTATTTTAATTATTTTTTTCCTATTAGTAAGTAAAACATAATAATACTTTAGATAGCAGATTTTATGAGGGTAGATAATTTTTTATCTTTTTAAATTATTAATAATTATAGGTATATATGTTATATAAAAAAAAAACAATAGGTATATATGTTTTTTTTTTTTTTGCTACGGGTTGGTAAATTATTGTATACGGTCCGGGATTAAATACACATTTTTAAGTACTATTTTACCAAACTATAAAATGGCTTTAACACTTTAATTGTTTTTAATTCGTTTTATTGCAATTTAGGTGTTTATCAAAAAACTGAAAACGCATCCTATCTGGGTGGACATGCAGTTAAACTCATTGGATGGGGTAAGGAAAACGAAATACCTTACTGGCTGATGGTCAATTCTTGGGGTGAACAATGGGGAGACAAAGGAATGTTTAAGATTCTAAGAGGGGTTAACGAGTGTGGTATTGAAAATTCTACTACGGCAGGTGTACCACTGGTGTGAAACGACTAAAATACAAATATTATTATTAAAATGTACTGCATTTATGTATTATCGATTATATCTTCAAAAATAAATATTATAATCATTATTTTTATCAATGAAATATATAATTAATCTAAAGCTTAATATGTATTACATTTATATTTTATGAAACTGTACATGAACTAAATATAAAATCCAATTTTTCCTAGAATAATTTGCGAAAAAAAAATAATAAATTCTTATTGGAATGAATCGATTAAAATTTATTTCGAAAAGTCAGTAAATATATTAAGAAAATATATGTATGGCATATGTGTTTGAAAAAAAATAAAAATTATTCAAATTAAAAAGTTATCTTTCATAAACATACTAAGAATTAAAAAATATATGAATTAATGCTTACATTTACAAAAAAAAATAAGGCAGAACCTTGTTATATGCATTATAAAAAGGAGCTTTTCCAACACTTTACTGTTTTATTTCGTCAAACTTTCAATTTAAAAAACTTGTGAAATATATTTATTAAAAAGTTTAACAAAAGCGATTTGTACTTATAACATAAAGTTTGAAAGTGCAAAATATTAAAAGAAGTACAATCCCAAGTATTTGGATTAATAATAATTGAATGGATTACTAGAATTTTTAAGAAATAACTTAGAAATTCGATTTCTCTTAACGTACATTTTCCAGTTCAAATAATACAACATTATGCATTAAACATTTTAAAAATGATTAAAACCAATTTTTGATGGCCTTATTTACTAGCTATTGTATAAAAACTTAATTTAAGTTCAAACAACATTTTAGTACTTATTTTATAGCGCTTAATTAAGTAAAATACATCTACTCAGTAGTACCAAACCCTATATTGCGGTTAAGCCTTTGATCAACATCTTTTGAAAATGTAGGACGGGGCCTTTTTAAATATTTTACGTCTGGCTAGATTTTTAGGACTTCGGCACCAATGTACCTATTCATTTAAAACTGTAATTGTATTTGTTTCTCAAGAGTACTGACATTTTCGTTCAAAACATTATAAGAAAACGATTATTATAATTATATTCTAAGTATATTTTATTAATATAAGTCGAAAAACCGATATAATCATGTTTTTGAATAAATAACCGTAAGTAATAATAATAAACTAAAAGTAAATGAGAGGGTAGTTTTTTTACTCAACAAAGGTTGTAAATTCTCAAGTTTAATAAAAATGTACCCTCCACTTAGAAAACTTTTCTCGCTATCAATCGACTTTAGGTCAAATCTTACGGCCGTATTCCGATTCGGTTTTTAATCAAAATATTCAAATAATCACAATTGTGTGCACTCGGTAACATTTTAAACGCAGTCATTAAAACGTCGTTAGTCCGTTGTTTTTCAATTAATACGGAAGCGATCGTTTTTTCCCCGCGCCGTGTCTGCCACATACGAACGCGAACTCGTATAACGAAATCCGAAACGACTCGCGACTATAACAACGCGTATAGGTATCAACAGAAAAGGTGCGTTGTTTATTCGCGCGTAACCCCAAGCACCCCAGTGTTCATCATCACGACGGTCGGCCAAACGTCCTGCCCCGGGCGACATCTCCAATTACACCCTTGATGCGAACGTTCAACGGGCTCCGAGCGTCACGCGGTTATCGTTGTTACCGCGACGGTCATCTGAACCAGCGATTTTCAAACTGAGGGTCGCCATTATATAAAATAACTATTGAGGTGTTTTCGTAAATATCATCCATACAGTGGTTGTTGAGAATTACAATCGGTAAAAGTTTGTTACGTTTGATTTTGGTATTAAAAGGAATAAAGAAAGAAATAGAGAAATAATTTCGTTATATTTCTTGTTTTTATTATCTTGCTTTTTTTTTTTTTTTTTTGTTATCAAAAGGATATGGATATAGTTTTTTCAAAAGGACAAAATTAAATTTTTATACATTAACAAAATGTTTAGAGTTGAGTTGATGTTGCGTCCGGATCTCCCGCCTCCATCCCGCCACACACTGGCCAATGTTCGTGTCCTCACTCCATCTTCGAGTAAGCCATCCGGGATTTAGATGAAGACAGTATAATAATAAAATCACCACTAATTATAATAATAAAAAATGGTATAATAAATTTGCGCTAACTCAACGACACTGGCCAAAACGCAAATCACTTGGAGAACTGCCTGGACGACGTCGTACCATAAGTGTGTGTGTGTGTGTGTGTGTGTGTGTGTGTGTGTGTGTGTGTGTGTGTGTGTGTGTGTGTGTGTGTG